TGTTTTAGCTTCTTCTTCTTCTTCTTCTTCTTCTTCTCCTTCTTCTTCTTCTTCTTCTTCTTCTTCTTCTTACCTATTTACAGAACCTCAACACACACTTTTCCTCCAAACTTCTTATGAGTCTTTGTTCCTCTGGGCATCATTTCACACAGGTTTGAAGCCACGTATTAAACACATCAAAACACGTGGCTCGTTATGGACACTTGTGCTTTTGCTTTTGGCAGCAATATGTTGTTTCCTTTTCACAAAACCATTTTTTGCTATGCACACTAATTAGGAGGCTAGGTCAATTTGAATTTGAATATACACTCAGTGGTCACTTAATTAGGTACACCTGTGAAATCTAATGCAATCCAGTAAAACAGCGCAGCCATAAATATTCTTTTACTTGCATGTTCAAGTTTGATTGACACTATCAGAAAGGTATTAATATCACTGGATGTTTATGGATGTTATGTTCATACTCTAAGACAGTGGTTTTCAATTTTTTTTGCCCAAGGCACACCTGTATTTATATGTGTGCACAATAGCCTTTATAACGTGTGTTATCACTCTTAACATGCCATAAATGTTTGTTTTTGTTTACTAATATCAAATAACAATTGACCACCAGCTATTGCTCTTGAAATATTTATTAACAAAATGATTCAAAAATTAATTTTAGACTTTTTAAAATTACACAAAAGCGCCAATAACACATCCATTTAAATGGGAAGTAATGTAAGATAAAGTGATGTGTCACACACTTATGATTCCAAACGGCGACATATAGGCTCCTGGAAAGGTTTTTAAATTACGTTAAATTACATGTATTTTTTTAGGTAGAGTTTGCCTCTTTATTAGGAAATGGGCGTGCACAACATACTGATACAGTCAATTAATAATTCATTCATAGCTTTTTGTGTAGGCCCAGTTGAATATTGCAATAATAATGTGTGGTTATCACAAATTCCCACAGCACACCATTTGAGGACCACTGCTGTAAGATTATTTTTACAAGTTTAGAATGTCTACAGCAACCTAAACTAAGACAGACAGAGAAAGGTGTACACAGCATAATAGAAAAGAAGATGGTAAAAGTTTATTAAAGAACAAATATAAAAAAAAACAGAGGAGGAAGAAAATAGAAATAAATAAAACAAAAAAATAAAATTAAATTAAATACAAGATAAATATGGAGTAAATACAGGTTGCAACAAAACAATTCAGGACACATTTGGATTTAATTAATTTTCCACTTTTAAACTGAGTGGAATAAAAATTAAAGCTGCTGAGTTTGGCCACTAGAGGGCAGCAAAGACAACCACCTTCACTGTGCGCTGTCCATGGTGCTGATACATTCAAAGGCATTCGGTGTCTCTGTGCCTCTCTCCATGGTGCTGAATAATTCAGACGCATGGTATATCCCAATTCTCTGATGTCATATCTGCTCTGTCCTGGTGTGACCCGCAAATCAGTAGAGTCCACCATAGTAATGGGTGGTTCAGTTACCATCATTCTGCCTTTTGCTATGTGTCCGTCAACTTTTGAGTGTTTAAATACATGAGAGGCAAACCCAACATGTCATGCACTGTGCTCACATAATGGCAATGGTTTCATATCATGAAAATATGACTTAAAAGGACAGCTAATGCAAAACCAAGGAACATTGGCACACATTTCATAGCAGTCTGCTTTGGCCAAGTGATTAGAGTCCTGACGATGTTTGCCTCTCAGTTTAACCAGTCACATGACTTCCACCTACTGGTCCTCAGCCTTAAACACAACAGAAAACACTTGTTGTCATAAGTAAGTGCCACGTAATGAGAGTTCATGTCATGAGTCATGTTGTTATTCACCACAATTACTGCCAGAACATTGGGGTCCAAGACGTTACTCACTGCGGACTCATTCTCCTAATTATGGTGATTCTCACGATTACTTGTCACTCTCCCAGAGAACTGAGGCTTATTGTCCTTCAGATAGATTTAGTCAGACCTGAGTTAGACCATCATTTGACAAAATCAGGCCAAATATGCAGGCTTTGCCAGTCACTTTGTGTCGGAGAAAACATTTTAGGGCAGGATCAGGCTTTTTAGCTTCAGGTTATTATGGAAAGCAGACACGCAGACAAATTGCAAAGCAAATGTGGAGACAGTTGCTCCAGTCAGAATAAATATATCAGGAAATGTCTGACTAAGATGTTATGGTTCGAGTATTGTACTGATTTCGAGTTGTTTTTGTTAGTTGGAATATTGTATTGTAAGTGTTTTTGCGCATGTATGAACATGAGTGTGTCATATATTTATATATGAATAACGGCAACCAGAGGAATATGCAGTTACGTGCGAGGAGGATGATGAAGAGAAAGAGAGAAATAAATAAATAAATGAATAATGGTGATAATAATAATAATAATAATGTTGCTAAAAAGGTTCAATAACGACATAAATTAACAAAAATCGTGTTAAAGAAATTAAAAATAAGGCATTAAGATATTAGAAGGAGAGAAAGCAAACCACTGATTAACTCCTAAATTCTAAATGGCAACCTACTGAGGAAGTCATTTAGAATAAAGGGAACCAGGCTCATTAAAGACATCTCATTAAAAGGGATTAAACTGATATGATCTTCTCAGATCTTTAATAGAGACATTATTAAAATTGGATTTTACATGAGTGATGAAATTTAAATTTATTGCACAGCGCTCAGCAAAGTTTGCCTAATAAAATAAAATGGGGGAGCAAATATTATCTGCCAGTTAGGGTTCAATAACGGGAGGAAAAAATATATCTAAAGCAACATTTATTTGCAAGACAACAGTTAGTTTGATGTACACAGTGTCTCAAGCACATTTTGTATCCTGGAACAGTAAATTATTCTGAGCGAACAGTCAGTCACTTCACAATAACCACTGCATGTTGTTAGGTTACAGTATGAAGTCACACTGTTTAGTGTCTGATCATTTGTTTTCATTCTGTGGTCTCTTTCACCCTCTAGTGGTCGTCAGAGAAACTGCAGCCACTAAAAGTAAGAGCTCTTGTGGAAATCCCATCGATCACATGACTGTGCTGTTGCTGATACAAACATCAGTTCTCAAATCTAAAAATTAGTTATCAGATATATGGGTCTATCAGTGATCACACTAACAATTCTATCATCTGTATCTGTGTTACCTTCTCTATCCCTCTAGAAATGCTGACATTACTAGTACCATCACATCCCTATGTTGCTTTACCTCTTGCCATGATAAATGTTTGTTTGTAGAGGAAAATTTTGTAGTCACTGATCCATCTTTGATTAAAACTGACAGGAATGTTGCCTTGTCTTTGCAGAATAGAGTCAAACTTCTCTTTTCTCACTATATTGTCCATCCTAAGTTGCAGGCTCTGAGAATTAGGGTTATTCACACAAGTCAATATTTCGAACATCACTTTTAACTGTAGGTTTGAAGGAGCATTACCTTAACCTACCTTACACCTCAAGTTCTCCATTTCCAGCTAGAAAATTCAATACTGGCAAGTCGACTTCCAGTGTTCAACATTGAACCTTTACGCTATAAATGTTTGAACGTAGTTTGTGTTAATAATGTTTAATCTTAGTCCTGGTCACAGTCAGAGCCCATAACTCTATGGATTCCACAAAACACAAGCACAGTTGAGACATATGTGATTCATGACATGATGCAATCTCTTTCAACATGTATAGAGAATATGAAGGTGAATATGAAGGTATAGGTCATGCCATATGGGATGAGGGTGCCTAATTGTGAGGTTCACACTGTCTTATCTCCATCACTCATCTGTTGGCTATGCACTTTGTCCAAAATTTAGTTTATAATGTCCAGGTTTGAGGGTAAAGGTAGTGCATCAAAGTTTGTAATTCAGCCTTGGAATGCCATGTCATCCAGATCTGAGTTGTTAAGAGTTAGTCCAAATAATGTTGCTTGACCACTGCAGCTGCAGCACCATCCTCACAAGATGGCACCCCTGTCCAAGAGATTTAACACAGCGTTCTTTATTAGACTATTGACATGCTATCATGTATCGAATAGTTTATAATGAGGTTCCCATACATATACTGTATATTCCCAACAGACTTTATGGCGTAGCGGATAAAGGACCTCTTTTATATGTTGCGACTGGTTCTTGGCACCCTAACTCGACGCCCAGATGGAAGCAGCACAAACTCTGAGTGTAGTGGATGTGGGGCATCGGAAATTATACGTTTAGCCTTCCTGCATACAGCACTGTCAAATATATTGCTGGAGCTGTTTCTGTGACAGGTACTGTTAAAAATGCTCTCTGAGTTTCCATTAAAAGTTCATGTCTGATTAATAATTGTCCTCCAAGTACTTAAATTGTTCCACTTTCCTACAGGCTGGTTATTGACTGTGACAGGGAGGATATGACTGGTGCCATTTGGGTTTGATTGAATTAAAAGTATCTTTAAAACTGATTGTATGGGAGAGTAATCTTTCCGAACAAGGACCTTGCAAAAACAAATTACTGTGTTGTCCTTTATGTTTTCTTTTATTTCTGTATGTAATTATATGGATATTGTTTTGGTGCCTGTCAGACTTGCCGGACCCTGCATTGTGTATCTCCCCAGAGGATCACAGTGGAAATAAGCCTGTGGCCTTTTTGCATAATTTAATCTTAGACCTCTGCATTTACTGCACTTAAATTACATCACAAAGAGGACAAACTATAAAGGGCTGATCCAAAACCACGAGACGATCTAGAACGGCCAGTGGTTGGATTCTTAAACATAGCACTGACATTACTGTGTTATTTAAGTGTCCACTCACCTTTATTTAAACACATTTTTGTCTCTCTTTTATAGCTCATCCCTCCTGAGAAGGTGCTACATACGACAAAACAGCCACTCCCCCATTTAGGCTGCAGTTTGCCTACTTTTTACTGTGCTTTTACACAGTTTAATGTGTTTGATATCCTGCTGTTCCGCTAATGGCCTGTGGGTGGCAGCAAAGCGCCGGCCACCATCACTACTACCACAAAGCACCGCAGAAGAAGACACATTACTGGCGGTTGGATTACTAGTGCAGTGCAATGGGGTGAGTATCGTTTTATTTGTCCACTGGTTGATTTAAAATGACCCGTAAACACTTGAATAAGGTAATAAACAGTTGAATTACATATTTTAATAGCAAGTGAAGCGCGTCAAGTTGTGTAATTCACTGCTTTTGTAGAAGAGCTAATCGTGACAGCTGCTGTCCGCCTACACAAAGCAGCATCTTTCACTGTCACTGTTAGCCACTTAGCTGCTAGCCAGCTGTCACCGTCAGCTACTGATGTCGGTAAGATACGGTTATCTAACGTGTCTTTTGTTAATACAATTCAACGTTAACTGTGACTGTCAGGCGATTAAAAAGCTAGCCGTTAGTTAGCTTCGCTGACGTTACAACAGATAGCCGGGAGCTAACAGCAGGTGACAAAAATAGCCGGCTAGCTAATTAAAATTTCATACTTAGGGACATTACGTTAGACTGCTGTTACATCAGCAGCTGGTAACGACGAGGTAATTAGCCAGACAGACTGCCAGTTGAACCTGTCCTACATTTCACTCAGTTGCATGAGAGACAGAGACCTATTTTTGTTTCCCCTCTGGGTTTATAAGACAGTGGTCCCTCTTAGATTAACACGCTATGTTTGGATGGACAGTGAGGAGCCAGAGTGTACATATGTTGCCTCAGGCCTTTTGTCTCCTCTGTTCATGAAGCAGTTTAAAACCTGGGTGTATTTAACAGTGTCTTTGTTAAAATGCAGGGGCAACCTTTAGATCAGGTCTGCCGTGAACAACATTATTATTCAAGCTGTGGTGGAAGAAGCATTCAGATCTTCAGAAGTATATCACAGTAAGAAATACTCTGTAGCAAGAAAAGGTCCTGCTTTCAAAATCTTTAAGGTGTCTACAGGTCCTTAAAAAGTCTTAAAATGTCTTACCTTCAGTGTTAAACAACAAGGCCTTAAAGGCAACAGTCTTAAATTTAAAAAACTGCTACAAATATTTTATCTGATGTTATTGATATATCTTTTAATTCCTGTTTGTGAAAACGAATGAAGCTTTTTTATGTAAAAGTCCACATTCATAATGTTACACATCTTTAAAAAAAAAAAGACTATAATACTGTCATTTTACTTCATACTTACAGTTCTGTTGGCAAACTGTAGATCAACTAAAGTGACTCTAATAACTATAGTCCTACATAACACCTACCTTTGCATTAGACCAAATGTATACTGCTTCTTATTTAATGCTTAAATGATTAAAACATGATTAAATCTTTCCTAAATTTGGTTGACAGCCTGATCTTGTAAAAAAGTAAAGTAAAAACTCAAAAGTATTAGCATTGATTGACTGTCTTTATTTCGAACATGTAAAGAGTGGAAACAAAACAAAAACAAGAAAACAGATAGACAAGTAAATAAATACTAAATTAAAACAGGCAAGCAAACAGACAGACAACAGTAACAATGTTGTTTTAATTTAAGTGCTTTGTAAATTTATTTTTTGGGATAAAGGGGCAGATTAAATACGTTTATTTTTCTTTCTGCTCCCTTTCATTCAGATTTGGGAATGTTGTGTTTATATTGTATTGTTTGTTTGTTTTTTTCTTTTTTTTTTCAATGAATGAAATAAGAATAAATAAATAAATAACAAAAAACTAAAAAAGACAAAAGGATGGAATATTGATCCTCCACACGTTTCACATGCTCGAAAGGGGGTAGGAGGAAGTGTAAACTTATCAAGTCCTACCCCTTTACTCATAGCATCAAAATATACTTTAAGTACCAAAAAATAAAACTACTCATCATGCAGACAGGCCCGTTTTAAAATAACACAACTGTATGATCAATCAATCAATTTTATTTATAAAGCCCAATATCACAAATCACAATTTGCCTCAGAGGGCTTTACAGCATCGTCATCCCTCTGTCCTTAGGACAGTCACAGCGGATAAGGAAAAACTCCCCAAAAAAACCCTTTAACTGTGGGGAAAAAAATAAAGAGATTTTCAAGGTACAATAACCATCTCAGAAAATATCACACTCTCACAGTATCATGGCATTACTGAATTATCATTATTATTATGAGGCAAATTAACTAGGACCCGTCCAATTTAATCGGCCGATTATAGCCATTAAAGAATAATCGTCAATCGGCCAAAAGTTGGCGATGTTAACACTTATATTTTCATCACTAATAAAATGCAGGGAATATGGTGTTTTACTTAGAAATGATGTCCTTGTGTTACTTTTTGCACTATAACCTACCTCTGTTAAACTGGCAATAATAAGAAGAACTCTGGTACTGTGAACACACGTGAATGTCTTAATTCATATAGACTTTGCATGATTATTTTATTTCCCAGAGGTTTACTGCCTTTTTGCACATCATATTTTTCATTTATTTTGTGTTCAAATTGTTCATATGCTGCTTGTTCCACACAATTTCTGATAATAAAAGTATTTGAAAATAGTCAAATTGAAAAACGTAAAAATTTAATCAGCCGATATATTGGTTATCGGATTTTTTTATTCCATAATATTGGAATCGGCACAGGCCCCAAAAAATCCATATCGGTTAGGCCCTAAAATTAACCCATAAACATATGAAAATAGAAGGGTTATTTTTTTGGTTGAACAAACATTTCATTACTATAATTGAAACTTGAAACCATTTTAAAATTGATGTATGTGTAAAACGTAAAATCAAGTTGCTACAATTTTTTTCCATTAAAAATGAAAAATGAAAATATGTGTAAAAAGTGTAAGTTGAGATTCTTGGTGCAGTTGCATTTTTTCCCAATATCTTAAATGAGCAAATGTACACAGTATAATAAAAACTGGCATACCACTGCAACCCTAAATAATACATATTCTATTACTGGATTACAGGCTAATCATTGATGCATTAAACAGAAGTACCACCTAAATTAAGAATTCCAGTATGTTATTTCCATGGTCTAGGAAAGTCCAATCAATATTTGTGAGCATGAGCTACTCTTTCCTAAAGCCAGAAGTAAAGGCCTCTGCACACTGTGTCCGTTTTTTTTCTTTAATCCATCATCGTCGCACACACAAGCTTTGCACACTGATTCCGACGCGTCCACATCCTCTTCCTCTTCTTCATCATCCACCTGAATATTACTATCTGACCTGTTCTGAGCTATTTAAGTTATGACAAGATTCTGTGCAACATCTTTCTTTTGTCACGGCTGTGTCCTGCCGCCACATTTTCTTCACTGATTCTGGGTCAAAAGTTTCTAAAGGCTTGTGGCAGATGCGAAAAACACAGAAAATCAAACCTGTATCAAAAATTTTAATGACCAACAAAAGTTTCAGAGGTCGTATTTATTTTTAGACATGCAGCAATTTTTGTCAAGTCTGGAGATGCTCCATAGATGACAACGATTCACTCACTCATATTTCCCTATGCATTCATGTTATGCTGCATTCACACGTTGACGTATTTGCTGTGGAACAATCCCAGTTGCTATCAGGTGTTTCCTCTACGGGATCCTCCACTCTGCTGAAAGAAACAAATATTTTATTTATGTTATTTACCTATTCTATCTGCACTTATTTCATTTTAGCTCGCTGTGTTTTCTGTGTGGCTGCGTTTCTCTCCCTCCTTTCTCTCCTCTGCTGTGTGCGTCACCAATGCACAGACACGGGGCAGAGAGAAAGGAGGAGAGAGAAACATGGCTGAAACGGGTGACCTTAAGTTAGTAACCTCTTGTTACAGTATTATATAGTCCAATAAAATCTTCCAAACAAGTTTAATTTATATACAATGAAAAATAGTCTGTAAGTGAAGACGGCACATTTCTCACTGGGATCATATGTGTCAGGGATAACCTCCATTTTGCCAAAAAATACGCTTGACACACACATGGATGTAAACTGCAACTTAACTGGTGGTAGAAGCATAAAACCACGAGGCGGAAATTGTATTTAACGCATGAGTATAGTCTTTATTTTTGAGACAACATTTGTAATTTAATGTGCCTTAACATACTGGTGCGTCTCCTTCCTCCCCTGTCCAGTCTACCTGACTCCTGCTGACCCTAAGATCGGCCCCCACAGCCATCTGTCAACATGCAAGGATTCTACTCCAAGCTCGACTCCTCCCCCTCCTCGTCCCCGTTACTGGGGGTCGGCCTCGGGGGAGACGGTGCTCCCGTGCCCCTCAGCCTGGCTGTGGAGACAGAGAAAGCTCAGGCCCTCCTACAGACGTTCAGCTCCGCCTCTCTGCTGGCGTCTGCAGGACTCGGTGTGTTCTGCGTAGTGGCGGACCACACCCTCCAGCTGTCCGTCATCCAGAACCACCTGTGGCTGCGCGCTGCCTTGGACAACGCCACGCATGGATTGGTGGGGCTGTGGTCATGGGCTGTTGTTATTGGACTAAGGAAAAAGAGTGATCTGTACGAGGTGCTACTCGCCGGTCTTCTGGCATCAATCATAGACCTGGACCACTTCTACATGGCTGGATCCCTGTCACTCAAGGTAAGACCCGCAACCTTACTGAGGGTCAAGTGCAGAAATGTGCCTAACATGACTAATAATGTGCAAAAGTGTATTGCTAATTCATATTTATTTTGGAGAAAGAGCAAGTCCAGTTTCTTCTTCTTTCTGTGTGGCCAGATTTTTGTGCCAGAGTTGCACAAGGCCAAAGGAGATTGGAAACTGTTACAAAGAATCACGACTTTCTGCTCTGTAATGCTCATCAGTTTTTACATCCTGCAGTCAGTCTGTGTTTGCAGTGAGTGCAGAGACAGACAGTGTTTGCCCTTTATCACTATATCAGAGTTTACATGTGTTTGTTTAATGACGTGTTTGTCTGGCACCATCTGTCTTTTCATTGCAGCAATACCAGTATTCAGATTCTGTTTGAGATGATTTAGTGCAAGATCTGAACACTGAACAAGTTCAATATTTCAGCCAGTTCAGGGCATCTGTGTGGCTTTGCTTTGATTCTAAATTATACTGAAAGCAGCTGCCAAGAATAAGAGAAACAACACCAGAGAGAGTAGAGATGAATTGTAAATCAGAAATCTAGTATCAGTTGGGCTCTCTTCAATGACCGTAGATTATTTCAGTGAATCAAAAGGCAGTTTCAAAAGCTACATAGCTGTCCTGCCATCACTCTTACATATAGTGCTTTCATGAAACATTTAAGCTGACTTTTGACCACTTTTGTTTCATTATAAAGAAAATCTGAATGAACTACATTCAAAATTTGACCGAGCAGCAACAAAGCATTTCGCACCTTGTTTTTCTTTTCAACTTGGCACAAACCTTGCCAAAAACCTACTGAATTGATATTTGGCAAGGTATGCAACTGTGTTCAGTTAGTAGCAATCCCATAAAAGATACTGTTTGGATGATATGCTTAAATATATTCAATATAAAATGATAATATGGGATATTTATTGTTGATTGTCTCATGAGCAACACCTTTAAGTAGGACCTATTCATGCTCATTTTCAGGTTCATACTTATATTTTCAGTTTCTACAACACCATGGTTACATACTTTCAAGCTAGAGCTGCTAACTTTTATGAAAATAACTTTGTTGTATTTGCTGAAACTGTCACTGTATCGTAAAAGACGTACATAAGACTGATAGTCGTGGTGGATTCTAAAATCTACCAGGCATTTAATAGATCACCATTGTTTTTTGGCTGGTGAGTGAAGCTAATCTCGCACCTACTTGGATATTTTACCAGAATTTGGCCGGTGGCTGGTGCTGATTTCCAACCCTGTCCCTCCTGCCCACCTACTGTAGAGCCAAGGAGTCTCCAACAGAGCTGTCAGTCATGTCAGTCGCTCCATCAAACTGTCTGCTTCATAGTCTAGTGCACTGTTCTGTACACACAACGAAGAGGGATCCCTCCTCAGTTTCTCTTCTCCTCTTGCAGCTTAAATCATTTTCTTCCTGTTAAAAGTATTTTTAAGGGAGTTTTTTTGCATAACCGCTGTAAAGGTTCAGGGACAGAGGGGTGATGTGTGCTGTAAAGCCCTCTGAGGCAAATTGTGATTTGTAAAATTGGGCTTTATAAATAAAATTGACTTGAATACCGTTGAACAGTAAAATGAGAGAGCTGGTCCCACTAGTGGGCGGTAGGGGTGGGAATCTCGAGGCACCTCACGATTTGATTCGATTCAATTCCGATTCTAAAGGCAACGATTTCGATTATAAATTCGATTCTAAAACAAACCAATAAAAAAATTTACACTAGATATTGAAAAACATTATTGTAATAAAGCTGGGAATACATATCCAGTGCATACAAACTGTATTACTTACTGTGGTTGAGATTACTACACTCCACCGGTCCATCCTCCTCATCCACAAATCTCAATGGGACTCTCCTGTCCCTCATCAACCTCATCAACCATCAAATGGTGGCAAAACTACGAACTATGGTGAAAACACGACGAAAAAACTCTAACCCTAACCCACGGCAAAAAAACTCAAAAGCTCTCAAAAAAACACAAATACTATTATTTACAACAGTAAATATTATTTACAAAGAAAATGCCACCTAAACTCCACTAAAACACCGCTAAATCACTCAAACATCACTCGTCAGCTGTCACTCTCCTCCTGCTGTGCTCACTTCCCTCCTCCCTCCACAGGTAATGACGTCTTTACCGTAATGTACTGTTCCATATCACTGGAAAGCTCCGCTTCTCAGCTTTCAGAATCCGTTGGAATTACGTCAATAGCGAGAATGGTCGAGGAGGTACGGTAATTTGAAAAATAAATATAAAAATTAAATTAAAATCAATTATGAGTTTTCCACATCGATGCTCGCATCGTTCAAGACAGAATCTCGATGCATCTAAAAATCGATTTTTTTCCCCCACCCCTAGTGGGCTGTGCTTGGTACACCGTTTAACTGTAAAATGTGTAAATGTTACCCAGCTGAAATTTTGGATACAGTTAAACAGCACACTAAAATATGTTTCTGACAACATCTGAGGTGAGAAACAGGCAATGCAGTAACAGAATCTTGATTTGTATTCGACCAGGGCTGCCTAATGTGACAGTCTGACTGCAGTTCACAAGCATGATTGACAGCTGCGTGAGAGACTCTGCTCTGATTGGTTGTCTTTGTTCACATGCAGTAAGGCAGTGTCTGAAATTAACTGGCTAAGGGGGCTGGTTCATGAAAAACCCACCGGCCAAGCATATTTTTTATTGGCCAAAATAATAAATTTAGTTTTTATGCCACATATACATTTGTTATATTCCATTTCATTGAGATAAAAAGATATCATATTGAATACAAGGTTAAAGAAGAAAAAATCTGAGGCAAAATGATTTCAATATATTGAACAACTCATCAACACAGCCTCAGCATGTATATATATGTTACCTATCATAAACAGTAATACAGTGTATATGTCCAGGGCTTTGTTGTGAAAGGTAAGAATGGAAAGAGTGAAGCTAATGTGCTGCCACTTACAATGTGGGAGATAATGTGTTAATGAGGAGTTTGCTTTCTTAGTTAAATGGGGCCTCTGTGTTATTCTGTCACCTTCATTAAGTATGGGCACAAGGCTAGCACGCAGCAGACCTGCAGCAAGAGATAGTTTAGATCACATCAGCTGATGTCCTGTATGGTAGAACTGGGAGCACTCGAGACAGTCAGTTTAGTTGCACCCTTTAGCCTAGGAGCAGCAGAGCAGTGCACCCCTAAATGACGCAAAATGCAATACAGACTCAGACTATTTTGGTACAAACATTTACCCACCAGTGTGGAGGACAGCCTTCCTAGATGTTCTTGCGAAAGGAGTATGATTGTCAAAGATTATCTGTCTCATTTAGTGCTGTGTGAATATAGTCACAGTTTGAGCAAATGTGATTTTTTTTGTTTTGAAAAAACTCTCTGTATTCAGCCTCTCTGTCTGATAAGACTCAGTTTTAATGCCTGTCTCCTTAAACCCCCTTCTCGAAAAAGACCAGTGTGCTCTGATTGGTCAGTGTCTCTTCACCATCATTGCAGCTGGGGGACTATAACAGAGAAAAGCTTCACTTTCTACTGTGGACAATTACCAATAAAAGCATCTGAATACAACTAAATATGTTCCAGCAGGAAGATGATCTGAAATCAGGGAGAAATTTATAACATCCGAAACCAAGAGTATGTGTTTGATCTTAGCATGCAGCTAACATGTCATCTTGTGGCCAAAGTAGGAAAAAAAATAGGGATACACCAATGTGGACTTTTTCAACAGATTCGATAACCGATAAATTTTACATTTTTGCATTTTGAAATGAAGTGTATAACCTGTAGGGTAAGAAAGGCGTAGATGTAGCGAGAAAATATGGATGATTTTATATTTCACAGCCCTGACCCAACCAAATCAAACTGACCTCACTATTGATAACGCAACAAAATCAGAATGGACCTTCGGTGCAATCCTGTTGTCTTCCTCTGGAACTGGAAAGACATCCACACCGCAACATGTTTTGCCCTCTAGTCAGCGTGATGCAGGTGCTGTGCTTCTTCTTCTTCTCTGTGTTTAAAGGCACATCTACCGTCGCCCACTGTGTCAGGTGTGTAGATGCAGACCTTGTTAGGTCAATGAAAGCAGTCCGGCTTCGTATTATCAGCGCTATTTATCGGCTATAACTTTAGTTATCGGAATAATGCATAATAATAAAAATGTCCCATTATCAGCCCGAAATATATTGTGAATCCCTAAAAAGAACCCTTGGAAACAAGTATTAAGAATGGTCTAAAGCCTGGGGTTTTTTGCATACAGGGATAGGTCGCCTTTAGAAATCTGGCAGAATTCATCTAATATCTTACCAGTAGTGAGAGAGGTGGCAGATAATTTCTAACAAAACCAACGAAATACTCAGAGATAACTTCCTCTCCCACTTTCTTCCAGGCTGCTGTCTCACTCCCTCAGCGTCCTCCTCTCCACTGCTCCTCTCTCATCCCCATCCTCTGCCTCTCCCTACGCTTCCTCATGTGGATCGGACGCCTCAAAGACGCTTGGTGCTCCTTGCCGTGGATGCTTTTCATCTCCATGGCCACGCACCACGTCCGGGATGCCGTGCGCCATGGCCTGTGGGTGTGCCCGTTCGGCAACACGGCGCCGCTCCCCTACTGGCTGTATGTCAGCACCACGGCAACGCTTCCTCACCTGTGTTCGGTGCTCATGTATCTGACGGGAACCAGAGACGTGATCTCCACCAAACACGGGGTGGCCATCGATGTTTAGAAGTCAGCGACTCACCAGCGACACCTAGTGCTGATATGGTATGGATTGTTCCAAGCTGTTTGAGACAACTTTTAGATACTTGAAATCACTGGAGGAAACATTTGTGGCACTGGAAGCTGTCACTGTATGATAATGAGGGAGAAAGGTACAGTTTAGGTTGGATGGAAACATCTGTAAAATAAATGTAAGCTTTTTAAGAAAGGAACGTTCCAGTGTAAGTGCCAATCATGGACTTTTTTCTGACATTTTTTTCCTGGTGTTTTGGAAATGTATCCGAATCCTGTTGACTTATCTCAAGAGTGATGCTTATCTCTAATAACTGTCCTAAGTGTTTGGGGATCGACTCTTTAAAGCTTTGACATATCGTTTGCAGAGGCTCGCCTGCTGTCTGTTCACCTATCCAAACCCTGATAAGGGACCTGAGACTTCACGTCATCTCTTGGCCTCTGAACTCTTAACTAACCTGAACTTTCACTATCTGTCCTCATCCTAAGAAGGAACACTCAAGGAAAAGTCAACCAAAGGTCCACCACAGGCTATACGACACTGACAACATGTTATTACCAGTGTCACCTTCACCCTCAGTGTGTCCAGCAGTATATTACCACTTATATTCCACTGCTCATCTGCCATAGTAGTGAAGTGTAATGTGTCGTGCATTCATTGTAGAGTAAGTAGTAAATCTAGCACATTCCAGTAACAGCTCCATTATTAATCACCCCTAAACACATATTATCTTTTGCTGTAACAACCAGAAGCATCACCTCTCTGACACTTCAGCTGCGTAAGTTTTGCGGCTTGGATGAGCCAGTCACAAATAACCTACACGTGCCACTTTTTTTACAGTGGCAATTTTGAATCTACAGTAAACCTGGTTTAACTGTTGCCATAAAAGTTTGGATTAGCTGCTCAGACACAGATGTTAGTTTAATCTAAAGCATGAGGGGCCAGATGCATAAATGATGTGTAGGTTCTCCATCAACACTGAGAGAGACACAGTGCTGCTCCTCTGTTTAATCTGTTCATTAGTCTACAGTGCGACATCGGTCTATATGTTACACATGCTACACTAAATCAGTCTGTGAGATGAATTAAATTACCACAGTAGCACACATACAATACTGTGGGCCAATTTTTGCGTTTCCGTTGTCAGTTTAGACGCGGCGCACTGCGTCGAGCTGCGCCGGAGAAGGACCTTCGTCAAGCTGCGCCGGAGATGGACCTTCTCTTCTTTTCCTGCCCTGCTGTGTAAAAACATGCAGCAAAAATAACAGAGGACTTCAGCCTGGATCAGCTTGTGACTGAACATGTAGCCCACTTCGAAAATACCAGGATATGAATTTTTGTCCATATCGCCCAGCCTCAGTGGGAATGAGGCTCGCGCTCGTGCGCCCAGCGCCACAATGATTGAGATTTATAAAACACAATCAGGCGTACGCATGGCTTTTTAAATCTGATTAAAAGAATGAGTATACACAGTGTTAATCATGAATATACACAGAATTTTATGCATCTGGTCCCAGTTCTGCCGGCTACTTGTTGAAAGGTGACAAGGCTCTTGTACTGTGCATGAATCAACCTAGGAAGTGTTCCAGTTTTATTACAAATGGTTGGTGAGTTGTCTGTCTTTCTGTTATCCTAAAGGAAAACTGCTTTTATTCTCTATAGTTTCAAACAGCACAGTCAACTCTGGGGATTATCTTTCTGACAGATTAAGCTCTGTTGTTGCAGCAAAAGTTAAAGATGAATTAACATAATCAACATTTTGTACTGTAACACCGGTGTGATGAGTGTACGGTGTCCCAAGTGACCTCTCTATTTCACATCAAACGTAGAAAGGAAAGGGACCTAGAGAGAGATGCTGGATATTTATTTTTGAAGTGTTAAAACATTCAAGGGAATAATTTGTTCAATAGCGTGTCCATTGCCAATAATATCATATAACTTGTTGATATTTACAAAATTATGAAGTGTAAAGAAAATGAATTGCTGCATTAACTTGCTGTATATTGTTCCACTGCAGTTTGTGTTACGCTTCTGTAATTAAACAATTAATATAGTACATCCTACAAACTAAAACTTCCAGCTGGTGAAACCGTGAGTTGCAGAAGGACATGGGTTGTTGAACTATTCGTCTTACATGAATATCATATAGAACATTTAGAGATAGGAAGTCATGACACAGTTTTAGATGTAGACTGATCCCACGTTCATTCCTTTAATGTATTTGTTTACTATATTTTACATGACGCGTAATATGGTATGGTTGTAGAGTGGATTTATGGATTTAGAAACTTCTTATAGTCATTTGAATGTAATTGCTTTGAGTATAAAAACAATGGTGAACTCCTAAAGGGATTTCTAACAGTCTGCTTCTATGTTTTTGATTTGGAATACATTTTAATTTATGAGGAAAACATAATCACAATATTCTCAAATATCAGACACAAAAAAAAATTCATAATTTCCAAGGTTGTAGTGTTGCTTGTTGTCCACTAGGTGGCTGCAGTGAGCTGAAGGGATTCACATTACCCTCCTAAAGTTTGAATTGCACAGTGTGTTATAGATGTTATATTTTAAAAAATTATTTTTTGTTTTTTTATGTGTGTGTGTGTGTTAACTTTTTTGCTGCTATTACACATCTGTGTTTTTTTAATTATTTATGAAATATTTCCCTTTTTATGGATTGGAAACTATTGGAAACACTGTACTGCACCTACATAATTGAAAGTGATTTTTGGGGGGGGGGGGGGGGGGGGGGAAACGATGGGTGCCATGTCATTATAGTTGCCATTTTGAATATCTCTTTAACTGCTGCTTTATGTTGACAATGTGACCTTCATTAATGCAATATTATGTTGACTTTTGCACATTTTAAGTTTTATTTTGTCGTTTAAATTATGTTTTGTATTATTTGTGTGTTTTTTATGACAAAGTTTTAATTTCAATAGTCATGAAGTATAGATAGTAACAACATAGTTTTAATGTAGTGTTCTTTTTATCTCAATAAAATATATCCTGTGTATATACTGTGTGTTTGTGTATCAATACATGCTGTAACTGTTATTCCATATTATCAAATCTTGTCATTTTCACTACATATTTATGACATACTATATATATTTTTAAAGATATTATACAGTGACTGTTAATCTAATTTTTTTACATACAATACAATCACTTTTTATGATGTTATATACTGACATTTTTAATGATTTATGACTATTCTATTCACATTTTTCATGACTTATTTTATGACTTAAGCACGATCTTTGACATGCCATAACATTTTTTAAACCGAAATATGCTATCTTTTTTTTCTCCTATTTTTTGACGTACTAGACTGTAACCGTTTTTTGACATACGTTACTTTGACCTATTTTGCCTGTTATGACCTATTTTGCCTGTTATGGTAGTTTTTGTACCTCCTTCATTAATCACATTTTTCTTATTTTGCTGTGTGTGTGTGTGTGTGTGTGTGTGTGTGTGTGTGTACTTGTTTTTATAGTTTTGGACGACATACTATACTATATGTATACTATACATACTATACTATGACTTTTTTTCATGATATTGGATGTCATACTTTACTATGACATTTTTTCATGATTTCGGACGACATACTATACTATGACTTTTTTTCGAGGTTTCGGACGACATACTATACTATGACTTTTTTCATGATTTCGGACGACATAGTACTATGACTTTTTTCAGTATATCGGACGACACACTATACTATGACTTTTTTTCGAGGTTTCGGACGCCATACTATATTATGACTTTTTTTCATGATTTCGGACGAAATAGTACTATTACTTTTTTTCATGGTTTTGGACAACATACTATACTATGACTTCTTTTCAGTATTTCAGACGACATACTATACTATGACTTTTTTGATGATTTTGGACGACATACTATGCTATGACTTTTTTTTATGATTTCGGACAACATACTATACTATGATTTTTTTGAGTATTTCAGACGACATACTATACTATGACTTGTTTTCATATTTTCGGACGACATACTATACTATGACTTTTTTGAGTATTTCGGACGACATACTATACTATGACTTGTTTTCATATTTTCGGACGACATACTATACTATGACTTGTTTTCATATTTTCAGACGACATACTATACTATGACTTTTTTTCATAGTTTTGGACGACATACTATAGTATGGCTTTTTTATCATGATTTGGGACAACATGATAATACGAATTTTTTTCAGTATTTCGGACGACATACTATGCTATGACTTTTTTTATGATTTCGGACGACATACTATACTATGACTTGTTTCATGGTTTTGGACGACATACTATACTAAGACTGTTTTTCATGATTTGGGACGACATACTACACTATGACTTGTTTTCATGTTTTCGGACGACATACTATACTATGACTTTTTTTTTCACAGTATTGGACGACATACTATACTAAGACTGTTTTTCATGATTTGGGACGACATACTACACGATGACTTTTTTTGATGATTTCGGACGATATATTATACTATGACTTTTTTTGAGTATTTCGGACGACATACTATACTATGACTTTTTTATCATGATGTTGGATGACATACTATACTACGACTTTTTTTATCATGATTTGGGACGACATACAATGCTATGACATTTTGTCATGGTTTTGGGACAACAAAAGTCTTTGTATAGTATGTCGTCCAAAACCATGAAAAAAAGTCATAGTATAGTATGTCGTCTGAAATACTGAAAAAAAGTCATAGTATAGTGTGTCGTCCCAAATCATCAAAAAAAGTCATAGTATAGTATGTCATCCGAAATCATCAAAAAAAGTCATAGTATAGTATGTCGTCCGAAATCATGAAAAAAAGTCATAGTATAGTAAGTCATCCCAAATCATGATAAAAAATTCATAGCATAGTATGTCGTCCGAAATACTGAAAAAAAAGTCATAGTATAGTATGTCGTCCGAAATCATCAAAAAAGTCATAGTATAGTATGTCGTCCACAACCATGAAAAAAAGTCATATTATATATAGTATGTCGTCCGAAATCATCAAAAAAAGTCATAGTAGAGTATGTTGTCCGAAATACTGAAAAAAAGTCATAGTATAGTATGTCGTCCAAAACCATGAAAAAAGTAATAGTATAGTATGTTTTCCCAAATCATGATAAAAAAAAGTCATAGTATGGTATGTCGTCCGAAATACTGAAAAAAAGTCATAGTATAGTATGTCGTCCAAAACCATGAAAAAGTCATAGTATAGTATGTTTTCCAAAATCATGATAAAAAAGTCATAGTATAGTATGTCATCCGAAATACTGGAAAAAAAGTCATAGTATAGTATGTTGTCCGAAATACTGAAAAAAAAGTCGCAGCATCGTATGTCGTCCCAAATCATCAAAAATAGTCATAGTATAGTATGTCATCCGAAATCATCAAAAATAGTCATAGTATAGTATGTCGTCCAAAACCATGAAAAAAAGTAATAGTATAGTATGTCGTCCCAAATCATCAAAAATAGTCATAGTATAGCATGTCGTCCGAAATCATCAAAAAAAAGTCATAGTATAGTATGTCGTCCGAACTCATAAAAAAAGTCATAGTATAGTATGTCGTCCCAAATCATCAAAAATAGTCATAGTATAATATGTCATCCGAAATCATGAAAAAAAGTCATAGTATAGTATGTCGTCAGAGTCCGAAATTATCAAAAAAAGTCATAGTATAGTATGTCGTCCGAAATACTGAAAAAAAGTCATAGTATAGTATGTCGTCCGAAATCATAAAAAAGTCATAGTATAGTATGTCGCCCCAAATCATCAAAAATAGTCATAGTATAGCATGTCGTCCAAAACCATGAAAAAAAGTCATAGTATAGTATGTCGTCCCAAATCATCAAAAATAGTCATAGTATAGTATGTCGTCCGAAATACTGAAAAAAGTAATAGTATAGTATGTTTTCCCAAATCATGATAAAAAAAAGTCATAGTATGGTATGTCGTCCGAAATACTGAAAAAAAGTCATAGTATAGTATGTCGTCCAAAACCATGAAAAAGTCATAGTATAGTATGTTTTCCAAAATCATGATAAAAAAGTCATAGTATAGTATGTCATCCGAAATACTGGAAAAAAAGTCATAGTATAGTATGTTGTCCGAAATACTGAAAAAAAAGTCGCAGCATCGTATGTCGTCCCAAATCATCAAAAATAGTCATAGTATAGTATGTCATCCGAAATCATCAAAAATAGTCATAGTATAGTATGTCGTCCAAAACCATGAAAAAAAGTAATAGTATAGTATGTCGTCCCAAATCATCAAAAATAGTCATAGTATAGCATGTCGTCCGAAATCATCAAAAAAAAGTCATAGTATAGTATGTCGTCCGAACTCATAAAAAAAGTCATAGTATAGTATGTCGTCCCAAATCATCAAAAATAGTCATAGTATAATATGTCATCCGAAATCATGAAAAAAAGTCATAGTATAGTATGTCGTCAGAGTCCGAAATTATCAAAAAAAGTCATAGTATAGTATGTCGTCCGAAATACTGAAAAAAAGTCATAGTATAGTATGTCGTCCGAAATCATAAAAAAGTCATAGTATAGTATGTCGCCCCAAATCATCAAAAATAGTCATAGTATAGCATGTCGTCCAAAACCATGAAAAAAAGTCATAGTATAGTATGTCGTCCCAAATCATCAAAAATAGTCATAGTATAGTATGTCGTCCGAAATACTGAAAAAAGTAATAGTATAGTATGTTTTCCCAAATCATGATAAAAAAAAGTCATAGTATGGTATGTCGTCCGAAATACTGAAAAAAAGTCATAGTATAGTATGTCGTCCAAAACCATGAAAAAGTCATAGTATAGTATGTTTTCCAAAATCATGATAAAAAAGTCATAGTATAGTATGTCATCCGAAATACTGGAAAAAAAGTCATAGTATAGTATGTTGTCCGAAATACTGAAAAAAAAGTCGCAGCATCGTATGTCGTCCCAAATCATCAAAAATAGTCATAGTATAGTATGTCATCCGAAATCATCAAAAATAGTCATAGTATAGTATGTCGTCCAAAACCATGAAAAAAAGTAATAGTATAGTATGTCGTCCCAAATCATCAAAAATAGTCATAGTATAGCATGTCGTCCGAAATCATCAAAAAAAAGTCATAGTATAGTATGTCGTCCGAACTCATAAAAAAAGTCATAGTATAGTATGTCGTCCCAAATCATCAAAAATAGTCATAGTATAATATGTCATCCGAAATCATGAAAAAAAGTCATAGTATAGTATGTCGTCAGAGTCCGAAATTATCAAAAAAAGTCATAGTATAGTATGTCGTCCAAAATCATGAAAAACAATCATAGTATAATATAGTTTGAAACTTTAAAAAAGTTTTTTTTAAGTGTTTTTTAAGTATCTTTGTCATGTTTATTTATCATCATAATATATCTTATTGACATACTTTTTACTTACCCTATTATCATCCAGTCCTTGCTACTTCTGAACAGAGTAGGTGCATTTAACTTTTTTAATTGGGTTTTGGGCTTTAAAATTCACCTGCCCTGGATAAAAATAGAACCTGTGCCATCAGAGTGCCCAAACAGCTCTTTAAACTCTATCAACCTAACAACATCACCATTGTAAGGATGTTTTCAATCTTGACTTGTCTTGAGGGGGACATGAATACCAGTATTACATTTCATTGCGGTCCACGCAGTACATGGAGTAATCTGGTTTGGACTACGTTAACATGTAAACAATAAAAGACATGTAAATACAAACAAAAAAAAGATATTTTATTGCCAAGTCAGGAGCTGATGGTTGACTTTGGGAAGAAGTAGGGACCTTATGTCAAAAGGTCCTCGGTGTAGAGGGTGGATAGCTTCAAATACCATGGTGTCCACGTCACTGGCGGCCTGACCTGGGTGTTGCATACTGTTCCACCTCAGACACTTGAAGAAACTCCAGCAATATCCAGATATCCCCTCCAATACTGAGGAATTTCTAGTCTT